TGCGTGTGCCGGCGCGCGCTATTGTTTGATACGTTTGACTTTACTCCGCCACTACAACTGACAAACTCTTTGTAGATTCGCGGCATGCCGTTATAAATTAATATTAATATCAAATGTATTTGTAAAAGCAAAACCTAAATGTAAATTCTTATACGATACTTACTGAAACAACGAGTACGTAGAATTACTTTACTAAATAATTGTTAAATTAATGAATCTGACATAAAATAAGTATTATTTTACTTAACGTTAGAGTAAAACATAAAAGGTTTGAACCACAACTATACAATGTATATAGTTACGCACAAATACGGTCCACTATCAATAACTAAAGACTTAAGTGACCAGAGATAAAATTTAAGTACGATAAATCTCATTTACATAAACCATAAGCATTTGAGAAATAAATCTGAAACTTTCAATTCAAGTCTGACTTTCTTAATCACGTAAAATGTAAAAAAAATCGTTCATTAATAAATTAAGCGTATTAAAAAAAGTCCGAGTTAATTTTAGCACGATAAACCAGTTCCCACCTGAGCCGGGTCGGGAATCGAACCCAGCGATATAGTTCGCAGCCTAGCGGTGGCCGAAACTGAACACGCAGCCGTCTTGGTGGCCCTAAAGCACACGGAACTAACAATATTTGGATGCGGTAATTATAACGTTCTAAAAATTAGACTAATAAAATCTAAAAATCTACAAACGCACTAAAGTCACTTATAGTTATATAATAAATTACAAAATTGAATTGTACATTTGAGTTCTAAGTATGGCTTTTTTAAATTCAATGAAATTCATTAAAATCCTATAAGAAGAACAAGAAATAAGATTATAAAGTGACTGTGCAATAAATATTTGCACAATACTAATCCCTTTTAACCACAATTCCAGAAATTCCTAGAATTTTACCAAACAATTATAACTAAGTTGACTTACAAGTATTTTTATGATCCCTTTGTTACGAACAATAGGATTAAAAAGTGCGTAAATGTTGGCATTTTTAATAAATTCTTAGAATAATTCCTGTTCTTCTTTTTCAGATTTAAAATGTAGATTTATTGTTGTATTATTGGTTTCGTTATTGCGTTGAGTATTAGAGTTAATCACTTTTTTTATTTAAATAACGCGTAATATTTTAATGCCGCATCCATTATTCGTTGATTACCGTTAGACGTCGCTTGCCTCTGGTGGTCCGATCGTTTTTCAGTGCAAACTCTTGGTTGAAGATTTCGTCACTTGAGTGAACTTGTCCTGGGTCACGGGGACTCTAGTCATTCACAGGATCTAATGGCACAGTAACCTGACTTTATTTTAACCTAGGTACAATATCCAGAAAAGAGAAGTTATTTGACTAATATAATATGTAATGATATTCTAAAAGCGGTTGCTCACCTCTGACTAAGCAATCGCACAACTGCTGTACGATTGTCGATTGTTTCGATTTGTTTGCTGTACGATTGTCGACTGTTTTGATTGTTTCTTCAACTGTTTAGTTGCACGACCAAAAATCGAGTAGTGTGCGCACCTCCATATAAGCTTATAGGAGTCAAAACGCGACTAAACAGTTGTGCAATAGTTTCTAAATGTAACAAACACATTAACAATTTATTTGGTTTTAAAAAGTATAGTTTAGAAATATTGTATAAAAAAAACACAGACCGACCATTATTGGTTTTGAGTCTATTGACTCCTTCAGATTCTGTAATGTAGTATTTACATTTATCTGATTGTTTTGCTAATAAAAGTCGTTAATAATTTCTTGGAGTAACTTTGGAGCCAGATGGTTCCCGGTAGAGATACGTGCTCTCTGAAGTAAAGATTTTCTCACGAGACCTAATTGTGTTAAAAGTATAGTGCGCTTATTTGTTCCCATGACACATTAGCGACCCAATGAGGTCAATGAAGGTCGGAAAAATTGGCCACTGACATTTTTTTTAATTACCTGTGTTATCCCATTTCATCTTGCTAATTATAAACAAGAGTTTAGATGAATGGGTGGATGTTACAAGGTCTCCACATCTCGATTAAATTTTTCATAGATATGTAACGTAGTCTGTATTTTTTTTTATTCTAAGCAGATGAAGTCGGGGGCAAAAGTTTAGTTTATAAATATTGTTATGTTTTTGAAGCTATAAGAACATTTTAGTTGGACTCTTTGACACATTATAGTATGTTCGGTAATTTTTTTTATCAACGATTTGATAATTATATCAGTAAAAGCTACTAGATACAAATTAATTAATTAAGCATATAACAGCGTTCAAACTAGATTTCAATAGAGTTATGTTCAAGTCATCGCTCGGTTGTCAAAATATTGTACCGCTGTCCCGAGGGTCAGGACTACGCTGGTTCACGCACCATTAAGCCGCGTATCGGGTTTCGCATAAAATGCATTCGTAGAGACCGCGTCCTTTCGTGGGAGAAATTTTAACATAACTGTTGCAGTATTAAATCACATAAGATCAAAAATAAACATTTAATTTGTGAATGACTATTTTTAATTTTAAAGCATAAGCATTTTTGTATGTTCTTTCTGTTGAAACACGAGAATCGTAAATGCTCAACCTGGTTTTGAATACGCAGAGTCGTAACTCTTAATTGACCTCTGAACTCTTGGAGAGATTAAAAGTACAGAACGCATAGTTACATTTTTTCGCTTCAAGTTAAATAAGACAAGTAAAATGAGATGAACAACGTTCTCCACCAATGAGAAACGAATTAGAAATAACATTACTGGATGAGTAGTGGTCTACCCGAACTGTAACGGGACACCGAAACAAGTTAACTGTGAAAAATATAAAAAAACACGGGTCCGCGGTAACCCCATACGAGCAAGGGTTGATACCGTTACTCCGTCAAACCCTTTCCGGGGTCCACTTCCGAATGTCAGTATTGTTTTGTAATTACTAAATCACAGAGATACGGTGAGATTGAATTGAGACCGACTTGTGTATAGCGTTCAGTCGTAAACCGTAGAAGGTTACGTCTCAGGACGGGAATATGCATGCTAGTAAAATACAGTAGTTGGCATGCCAGCAACTGACACAATGCGTATAGACATAACAGTAAAATGTTTGCAAGATCGTATTCAATGAGACGTGTCAAAGTCAAGCTTCGTACACACCCGACAATTCCTTAGCTATCACATTATCAAATATACGCTAGATACTTGTATGCCAGTTTGCACAATCCTGGAGCTGGCAGGTATCATTAGCTTTCATTCAAGTGTGCCAGTTACTGGAATGTATGTTCACTTTTATTTTTTAAGATCGTAGCCTTCTTTTGTTTGTTTTAGCTTTCAGAATACGTTATTCGATAGTGACGTCAAAAGACGTCTAAATGACATTCATTTTATAATTCTAAGGACATAATACGTTATTTATTTGCAAAATGTTCATAAAACACTTCCTCTGATAACTCCGGGAGCACATCTGGGTGGTCCTTGTCCGCATGTCGAACCGTTTAACATAATATCTTAACCATGTTTAATGTAATAAATAAGATTGGAGATGTTCTTCGGTCTCCCGTGAATTTTGATAGGGTCATTTGGACCCTTGTTTATAACCTCTAAGACAATAGCCCCGCGATTGTTCAATTTCTGTTGATTTTAACAAATTGATTGTTCATTTTTTCTTTTATTGTAAAGATTAAAGATGCTAATTTATCTTAAAATGTTTCAATTCTATATGATTTTACCTGCTTATGATAAATCTTACTAATATTATAAATGCGAAAGTTTAGATGGATGGATGGATGGATGTTTGTTAGCGTTTGTAGCCTAAACGGCTGAACGGATCTCCATGAAATTTGGCACAGGTTTAGAGCATAGTCGAGAAGAACACATAGGTTACTTTTTATCCCGGGAATAGTTACAGTTCCCGTGGGATTCATTAATTTAGTTTTTTAATGTCTACTCGATCGTTCTGCAACGGTTCAACATATCTTATTGAAATTTGGCACAGATATAAAACAAAGTCTGGAGTACACATGGGATAAGCTTCATCCCCGGAAAATGTCTGGTTCCCGAGGGATACGTAGCTTTTTGTAATTTACATAGTTTGCATGTTTTCCAATACCACGCGTACGAAGTCGAGGGCAACAGCTCGTTGTCTATAAAAATGTATTATATCAAACTCTTCTACTTGTATACTAAAGTGATTATTTTGTTGGTGTTTTTTATTCTAAATACAAGATTAGCATTAGATGGAGGTTGAAGATAGCACCGAATAGGAAACAATTGATATGCGCTATATTTACTGCTTGTGTCTAAAACTTCATTATTTATTCAGTAGTCAGTAGTGAACCTTGGAATCCCTAATATCTTTGCACATATAATATTAGACCAAACATAATTATTTATTTCTACATTTTGGACTTACGTAATTACGACTTTTACATAATTAAAGTTGGCAATATTTTGGTCGACATCTTAAAATAGTTTTTTAACCTTCAATGTTCTGTTCAATCAAAGATAGACAGTTATCAAATGGCGGACGTTTAGCGAGATTACAGGGCGGCGCGCTAGGGGTGTCAGAATTGACACCGCACACAAATGGACCGGCTTCTTGGGAGGTTTATTGTGTCGTTTTTATGAAAATTACAGTAAAGCTCCCGGATATAGAACTTTCAAAATTATAGATTGTTTAAAATGTTAACATTTACTGTAAAATATTCTCCTAATGATAAAATCAAAAGAATATATAAAAGGAGCATTTTTGACATGTTAGACTAAAACAACATAACTCACGACCCAACCCAGAGAGATAAGCAGAGACCACGGACATCTATTTCAGATTAATTTTGTT